CCTTATCGCAAACGACCTTAACGGTTTGCGCGATGTGCATTCGGTTCCAGAGTCTTTAGCATAGAACCATTAGCATATTAACTGCATACATTTAAGTACAGGCTGTGAAGGCAGACAGCCTTCCTTACATGCAGCCCACATTAAAAGTAGAAATCAATATACTTTGTGTGGTAGCATATTGACAGGGGTGACAACTTTTATGCATCATTGTGGGGAAATAGCAACCCAAGGAGCTCATGGTCAGTAAATGAAGTTCAGAAAGATGGTTTGGCGTTATAGTTAGCTTTTTTTTCTCATACCTTTTCGTAATTTTCTAGCTATAAATGTTGGCTGGGAGGTGGAGGAATCAGCACTGAGCGGGCCCAACCGAACATAGATACTGGGTAGTGTCCCAGAAATTAATTTGAATTGATACTCCTGCATTAAACATGATAGACGTCACAAATAACTTTATATTTGCATGCTTCTGGCGCGCAAAGGGCAATTTTGGCTTGCTGATTGAATATCTACCAATGTTTGGATGTTGCGAATGAAATGTGTCATCCTGCTGTAACAGTTGTTGTTATGATCTGAAATGCAGATTTTTACACCAGCATAAATACAATAGATAAAAAGGGATGACAGCCAACAATTTTAACCCTTACACTAATGGGCCCGTTTTTGTAACGCGGACTAGTGGGGGGGGGGGGGGGGGGCGGAGGATTCCCTGACGTTTGCAAACTAAAAAGGCAAAGCGTCGCAAAAAACAAGCAAACAGTGAACTGCCTCCAGCTAGATCTTCTAGTTGGTAAGAAGTCTTCTTTGTTTAACTGACACCATTAGACCAAGTCAAAGGCCAAATTTTCCTGAAAACTAAACATCAGCTTTGCATGCTCATATAAGCGAGATCATGCAATGAAGTAACATGGAACATAAGGAGGCGTGTCCCTTGCTTATGTATCAGTACAATGACATTTATTTTTACCTGTTTGGAGATCCACCTGATGGGAAGTTATTGACAAATTTCGATACAATTTGCTTGCGGGGGCACGTCGAAGGGCGCCCACCAGTCAAAACGTGTTGCGCTAGGCTGGGGCATGCTTAAGGTATGGTGGATATTTTGATGACAGTTGAGATGGGCTCGAAGCGCAAACGTGATGTGATGGAAGAGACCTTCGGTGATAGGCTGATTACTGATGACTCTACGGGACATGGACTTAATAACCATCTCGTCATATAGTACCACATTAAGCTGCTGGCGACAATTTTTCCTCCAAAAATTTGGTCGGCGAAAAAGTGCAATTTTACCACCCCTGCTATAACGCTTGTTGCCAAGGGGCAAGAGGCTCAGTACGTCACGTCCCACAATTAGACGAAAGGTTTCAACGATCTTGACATCGAACACTGGATGTCGCATGCCACGTGCAGACAGGAACTGGATAAACCAAAAATAAGGCGCACAAAAAAGGCAGTATTTACCACCGTGGCAAACTGGTGGAGCGTGGTGAAAATATGTTCTCTGAGCATGGGTAAGCACAGGTATGTGCAAACGGCCATCACTGAGAGAAGTCATGTTTGCCAGGTGCTGCGAGATAATAATGCTACTCTGACACATTCCACAAGTCACTACAAGGAAGTGCACACGTCAAAAGACATTGATGGACAGATGATAGACGGCTTTCTTGGGAGCGATCAAATAATGTACTTAGTGAGCAAGAATGGGAGCAATGTGAGAGCATTATTACATGCAACTAATGCAAGCTGGCGTTGAGCAGAATAAACATGACAAGACTCCCGCTGTCGCGGGATTTGCTGTATTCGCGCAGTTTTGTAATGACCTCGGGAGTGCTTAGTCACGTACATCAATGACGCCTTCCTTAACGCTTTTTGATAATACAGTGACGCAGCAACAAGAAAGGAGACCAGACCCTATTACGAAACAAAAGGTCTATATCTCATAAGATACCATTCACAAGATCGTTGCAAAGCTGATTGGCCCTCGCATGGCAAACACCATCCATAGAATGAACGTCCACTGAGCAGAATGGTATTCAACTTGACAATGCAAATCTTGGCGATTTGCATGAAAATAAATGCAAATCCTTCAGACACCAATGGGTAAAGCAGTGGTCAAATTACACTGATATGATGTCAACGTAACGTTGCGTGTCAAGACCGGCCATGAGCATAGGCAATGCTGCAGCCTAGAGGTGCCCATTGGATTCCAAATTCTTGAAATTCCTAGGATTTCCAAAGTGCAATTTGTAAATTGGACGGATAAGGGCAACATTTTTCGGATTTTTTACAGCTGATACCATTACGTCGTGTCACAGCTTGGTATGTGTCTCAGCTTAATACAGATACTCATTGCTTACCCACAATCATTGATTCAAGTGAGAGAATGCAGCGAGGTGATTAGGGACTGGGGTTATTGATTGTAGGTGTAATTTATTGATATACAGAATTGAACATCTCTGAACAACCTGATTTTTTGGCACTTTTTGGACGGACAGCTGGTCCATCTTTCGACTGGATACAACTCTAGACAATACCTTCCAAAAACGGCACGGGGATGCACGCCGCGGATGAGTTTGGTAAAGTTTCTGGGCCGGGTCTAAACGGAGTTGGGTCTATACAAGACTAGGGTTATGTAGTCAGGTTCTCAGAATGGCAGTAACAAGTCCGTTCAAGAATTACAGGCTGTAAACAAAGTAAAAGCACAGGGCATATGGCCCAGCGCAAACCTGTCATGTGATACAGATAACGTATCGTCCGTGTTCACAAACATACACGATATAACACCCAAATACCCAAACAGAGCCCGCCGTAAAAAAAATATCCATTGTCATCTCAGCTCGTCTTAATAACCTCACGCGTGAAGTTCGCGAAAAAACCTAACGGCGATTCAGATCAAACTAATGCAGCCATTCAGGGCGGACTGACAGCGAGACGGAACGTACCAGGCGATGGAGAGGCTGGAGGCGGTGAGGTCGCCGGCCGTCCTCGTATCAATCGAGTAACTGGAGGTGAAGAAGCGGCCTCTGATGGTGACCAGCGAGCCGGGCGGGCCGGCGGCCGGCTCCACCGACTCCACATACGGCGTCCAGCTCTCGCGGAACTGCGACAGTCGCCACGTCATCCGACGGTCAGCGACGTCAGCAAACCATGCCATACCCGAGTACTTCCCGTGTCAGCGGAGCTGAGAAGGATCGAGCATATCTCGTGTCGGGGAGCGCAGAGCTGGGTATGTGCTATGCCAAGGGAGTGCGGATAATTTGGAGAGCAACGCGAACAATACGGCATGGCGGTGTGAGATGCTGCTCGCTGTGGTCCATCTCACTGACCTCGATGGAACGTCCGCCGGTTGATACCGCCTGGCCGTCGACGGTTAGTTTGAGCGAGTACTGGCTGCTCAGACCGCTGTCGACCCGTGGTGCCCTGAAGCCAGGACCACGCCGGCTCGTCAGCTGGCACCACAGGCGACGCGCTCACCACGCCGGCTCGTCAGCTAACACCACGGAGGGCACGCTCACCACACCGGCTCGTCAGCTAACACCACAGACGGCACGCTCACCACACCGGCTCGTCAGCTGGCACCACGGAAGGCACGCTCACCACAACGGCTCGTCAGCTGGCGCCAAAGATGGCACGCTCACCACACCGGCTCGTCAGCTGGCACCACGGAGGGCACGCTCACCACACCGGCTCGTCAGCTGGCGCCAAAGATGGCACGCTCACCACACCGGTTCGTCAGCTGACACCACAGGAGGCACGCTCACCACACCGGCTCGTCAGCTGGCGCCAAAGATGGCACGCTCACCACACCGGCTCGTCAGCTGGCACCACGGAGGGCACGCTCACTACACCGGCTCGTCAGTTGGCACCACAGACGGCACGCTCACCACATCGGCTCGTCAGCTGGCACCACAGACGGCACGCTCACCACACCGGCTCGTCAGCTGGCGCCACAGACGGCACGCTCACCACACCGGCTCGCCAGCTGGCGCCAAAGACGGCACGCTCACCACACCGGTTCGTCAGCTGACACGGCAATGTGGGCAAGCTCATGAAGGAGTCCATGAACACCACTATGACGCCGCCTGATCGGAGTTCCCACGCCCATGCTTGAAGGAAATGCTCTACAAGTGAAGAAATTGAAGCAAGCATCAAATATGATGAAATATGGTCAATTGTAACTATTGGTATGCATTTAAGTGAAAAGACTGTCCTACACCACACAATTTCTCTAGTTTTTGAATATGCTCCTCAATACGTCATTGTTTGATCAGGTCATTGTACCTTGCACAACATTGACTGAGAGCCAATTGACGGCCGTTAGATATGAAAACCGTGCTTACGAACGCCAGATATGGGCGAATCGACAATTATCTCTTTATTGGCCTCGATCGACGCGTGGCCAACGGAATGGTGGGATTTGAATGACGTTATTATGGCGACGTGGATGCCTGAGTGACGTTGAAATGGTCTTCCCGAAATGGTCTGAACGTCTTCGCGGGCTTGTAGCTGAGAAACTAGAAGGCTTAGATCTTAAGAAGAGCAGGGCCGTGAACTGCACCGAATGCTGCAAAATGTCTAGCTTAGTTCAAAATCCCGTAAAATGTGTAACAACCCCTATAGCTTTTCACATAATCGCCAAGGCAACGCCAATGCCAGTCGGTATGGAACTTGGAGACAAAAATCGGTGGTTCTACGTAAATAAAGACGGAGACGTAAGGAATCAACGTCCAGCACTCACCCGACAGTACAGATGATTCTGGTGGCGCTGGTCTTGTAGACGTTCACCTTGCAGGGCACCGTGTCCCAGTCGTTGACGAAGGTCACGGAGTTTCCCAACTCGGGCTGGAACTGGGAGTACTGGTCCTCCGCGAAGCCTGCCGGCATCAGCGTTTTGACGCGCCGACCCTAGTGTGCTGCTCTGACCCAGCCGCACGGTTGACGTGCGGCCGGCGGGCGAAATAGGCACTTCCACGGTCTTAATCGCAACTGCTAAACGCGTCGCATGGCTGATCTTAACGCGCTGGGTTTGCTCCGGTAGTTCCAACATGTTGGTCTGTAATGAACGGGACAACTTGGAAATATGTTGTGCCGTCATCACGTTTATATTCAAGTTTCAGAGTTACTGTGGAAATTATAGCGTCATCAAGCTACGACACATATCTATGCCGCTTCCCCGAAGTATTCTCACCCGCTTTGTTGGGCTACACACTGAAATGCTTGATTTATCACATTGATGCTTACTGAATGAACATAACAAGTAAGAAATAATGCCGTCGTTTTGTAAAACCATTCCGATCTTTCCTCGAAGGTGAGCATGCCAAAGGCCGAGAAGCCGTCTGTGTGTCTTCTAAACTACATGCGCTTTCGATCAACTTTCGCTTTGTCACTACGTAAATACTTAACATGCTGCGCGTTGACCACGAGAATCCTTACCTGACCCCTCGATCTGGATTTCTCCACCATTTCTTCCGACGTATCCTGGGTTTATCCTCCGCACGAAGGCCGCATCGAGTCCCACTGCACGAGACCAGCATGGATTTACGGAAGGATTGATGCAAGGCATTGGCATCACGTATGGCGTTCTGTTCAGACCATCCTCAACGTCTGACGCGTTAGCACGCACACCACATTTCACCATTTAATTCCCCGGACGGGGGCAAGAGCTATTGAGCTGAGAAGAAATGGATGGTGTACGGCTTTCAGCCGCAAATGCGAACAACCCGACTGTTCTCCTTGGAAATGCTAGGACTTAGCCAGGACATTCTAAATAAGAGTCAAGCGTTTTAACACTGGGCTGAGAGGGAAGTCTATGGAGTATGGTAAAACGTTGCCTAACCCATTCCTTAACACTATTTTGAACAACCCCGTTGTCTCATTGCTCATCGAAGCCAAGAACCGAACTATTGACTCGACAATCTGCTAAGCCTGCCAGCATTGGCCCCATTCCACGCTTATGTGACGACACAGAGATGTCCCACGGATGTGGCACTCCCCAGTATACCACACATGTTCTGACACCACTAGTGATCATACACCAGTATCCCTGGGCGTTACAGGTCTCCAGTTGTTGTTGTTTTTTTTTTTTGGTCGGGGCCCACTGTACTTGATAAGACACGAATTACGACCGGCTCTCTAACATCACTGGAAGGCCATTGCGACGAATTTCGTGCAAGGTTAGGACCACTCCACGTAAGAGCTCTGTTTCCATCTTTCAGGACCTTTCCTCTCACTCCCAGCCTCCAACTGCTGGCGGACCGAGCGCTCGCCAGCGCCACCTACCGACAAGCAGCAGAGCGGAGACAAGCGGAAGCCAGCCCCGGCCGGCCGTCGACGGCAGCGTCCCGCCGAGCGTCATGTCGGGGCGGGGACCCGGGCGGCAGTGGCGGCAACGGCGGCGGCGGCGGCGGCGGCGGCGCGCCGGTGGATCGCTGTTGACCGCGGTTGCCAGGCGAGCAAGACAGCACGCCATCCATGGTGCGGTGCCGCCGGAGGCCGAGCAGGCTCGCTCGCCAGCGCCGATGGCAGGCTAGATGTGGGGAACGGCTTGTAGAAGGGAAGACAAGTGGAGGTGCTCGGCGGAGGCACTAGGTCGGTCGAAACACACTCCCTTAAGGCTAAACATCAGCTTTGTTTTTATGGTTTCCCATGTGCGAAGCTGTGCGCTTATTTGCGGGGTGCCAGGTTTCTGGCGCCTTCTAATGTCGGTGCCCAGCCGCCGCCACCGTTGCAGGATTTTAGACAATTTTTGTGCTTCCAAAGGGTAGTAAGTTGCTACAATATAGTTTGTTTTTGACTGACATAAATTTGGCTAGATATCATGCACTTTGAAGACAGTTGGTCCAAATGATTGTCCCAGTTCATCATTTACTTAGGCATGTAATCTCTTTTTCTCAGTGGCTTGACTGCGCAAAAAAGATAAAAATTCACACCCCGTAATGCCTCGCAGAATTTAAACTCCAACCGTATCGCGCATTATTTCCAGATATTTACTTTCCTCGTGCCAGGAACAATTAAGGGCACGAGTTAAAGGTACGCTTATTGGACGGAGTCGCACAACGCGCAATAAATATCGTCACACTTTTTTAAACACTGAGAAATAACTCAGCACGTGTTTGATTATGCTGTCTTGCTTTCATTGCGTTGTGCAACGTATTCGAATATTTCTGCAGTCTCCGCTGCCATGGGGATCAGCATGGCGCAGCAGTGCTGTGTGCCTCGCATGACAGAAGTTCGCGGATTCATGACGGCAGTGAGATGTCATACTGTGAACGTAATCCCTCATAATATCAATCCATCCGACAAAGTGAAGCCAATAACAAAATAACTCAACGCTACGTGTCGTTTTCTCCCACGTCGCACACAAGCAGCTACACGGTTGAAACTAAACAACCAGCATGTCTGAATTATGTTCTGTTACGCACAGTCCTTGTTAGGGCTTTACGGCATCGCACTGGAATGGCTTCAATCGAGGATGGTAACAACAATAACAAGTTTAAGCACATAATATGCTGTTTTGTGTGACCTGCTGTACACGGACAAGATCTGTGGAACTCACGGTTTCCTCGAGGTAAAATACACAGTAATATTGGAGTTTCGCAGACTGGCATGCTGGCTGACATTTTTGCAGATAACATTGGTAGAATCTAGTTCACTAAATTGCGACCGTACGTCTGTCTGCCACTCTGTCTGTCTGTGCGCATTACTTTAGCCAGCGCAGTCAGTGGAGGATCTAGGATGTCGTCAATGGCTGACCACGCATCATTGTGCCCCTCCCTCCCCCCCCCCTCCCCCGTGGAGTTTAGGGCACCTCCAAAAGTATCCGTGGATTTGTGTCACTTAATGTTAAGACTATCATGCATGCTATGTTGTACACGGAAAGCCATCTCTCTGTGCGCAGCTCTAGAAATCGTGGTACTTATGCACAGACATGGAGTGCGTTTACTTCCTGCAGATCATGGTGGATCATATTATTTTGAAAGTATATATTTCAGAGGAAATATAACAAAATGTGTTAAATTTGACCGCTTAATAACACCAAAAATCCAAAACGACATCTCATCCCAAGGCTGGTTGCAGCTAACCAGTTTCCGGTGGATAGCCGACTAGTCGATGTCGATGGGCTGTGAACTGTACCAAATGATCTGAAAGATGGCTATTTCAGTTAACCTCATACAGTAACCTCATGCAGATGTCGAACATTCCCTTCCATGCCTGCTGGGATATTATTTGCATAACTTTGAAGTTCGAGATAAAAGCGAAGGCTGATATGTATTCAAACCGCTTATGCAGACTTTGAACTGCGCTAACTGCACATTCATTTGCGAAGGGTGCTAGGATTTGCGAAGGGTGGGGTGCTAGAGTAAAGACAGAGAGAGAGAGAGAGAGAGAGAGAGAGAGAGAGAGAGAGAGAGAGAGAGAGAGAGAGAGAGAGAGAGAGAGAGAGAGAGAGAGAGAGAGAGAGAGAGAGAGAGCCTCTCTCTCTTTCTCTCCATTTTGCCTTTCATCCCTTCTCTCTCTATATATCTCTCCCTATTTCTCACCCTCCACCTCAGCTTCTTTCACCAACAAAGGCGCCAATAACTCTTCAAATCTTCAAGAAACTGCAACTATTCATCAAGCTACCTTTCTCTCCCCTCTCACGTCTAGACATACGAGACCCTCCTCTCACACATATCGCGTAAAACGGGAGTTTAATTAGTTCAGCGCCGCAATGATCCAGCGCTCACAAGCCATCATCGATTGCTCTTGTCTGTCATCCGGTCCGGTATCAACCGCCCGAGAACTGGTCTGCAGCTTCTCTCCCAAGACTACCAGCCAATCACAGGGCGACGTGCCTAGGTGGGCGGAGTTACGCTCCGCCATTGGCTATCTGCCAGACACGCGTTGTATAAGGTCGCTAGCATGGAAAGACAGCAGCCCAGTGTGTTTTGAAAACGTGGCAAAGACAATTCGTCAACAAATAGGTAAGGGGATGAAGGTACTCTTGGTGCCTTCATTTCAAAGCTTCCTGGCATGTGAAGGGAGTGTTCCATATTTGTATCGGGTTTTGAACTGAAATAGTCATCTTGAAATCATTCGGTGCAGTTCCAAGTAGTGCCCTTCTGAAGACCTAAACCACTGTATTTTCTGACCCACACGCTCCTGACCTATGGAAATGTGCAGAATATTTCGGGGAGACTATTTCAAGGTCACCCAGGCGTACATGACATCATGGGAACGTCCTTCAAATCCTGCCATTTCATTATCCATGCGACGATCAAGGCCAAGAAAAATACAATTGTCGAATCGTTCATTTCTGGCGTTCTTGAGCGCGATTTTCAGATATAACGGCCCTCAGTTGGCTCTCAATCGACGTTGTGCAATACACGATGACGTAATCAAACAATGGCGTATTGGGGATTTTTATCTAAACTCTTTTACCTTTTATTTACTAAACGGAGCAAATGCGTTCTCTAGAACAGTCGTTTCCGCTTAGAAGTATGCCAATGGTCGTAATTTAGCTTATTATAGCATCTCTGATGCTTGCTTCAATATGTTCAAATGTGGAACATTGCCTTTAACCACGCTGCGGTATCATGGATGGAGCAGTGCTTAATGTTCGTGCATGAACAACGTCTGGGCCGACCAATTCCCCGGCCGTCGAACGGTTCTGAGAAAATTTTAGAATCTCTGGCAGAAGACCATGTTGTCACGGGTTCGGAAGCTGCTGACAGTTTTGAGGTCCGAACCCACGATTTTGGTATTTGGTATATAGGCTAAAACCTTGCGACCAGACCACCGGTTGCGCGTTAGAAGTTCCTTTCACTCATAGACGTAATTTTTGCGACAAGATATCTATAAAGGGGGGGGGGGGGCATATTGCTTCACGCTTGCTTGGTGATGGGACTCAAGACCGGGGCCACGTGTGGCACATCCGGTCTGCTGTATTTCTCAGTGTTTCTCCGTGTCGATGAAGGTCACGTCATTCCTAGAGGTCGAAAAATGTGCTTGGCTGCCTCTCAACAGCCCTTTCCGGGCTCACAGTCACTCTCCTCAGCCAGTTCGAGGAAACAGGCTCATAAGATTAAATTATGAACATTTATATAGTTCAATTACCTACTGCGCACAGTTACATTAGCACAGACACCACTAATAGACATTTCTGACTCCCATTATAAACAACAGGAAAACGAACACAATGTTGATGTGAACCAAACCTATCCTCCCGATAAATGGTTGCCCACCATTCTGCGACGTCCGTGCTTGCCATATTCTTTCCATACCGAAGCCGCTATTTTTCAACAAAACATACTTGAAGCCATGATTGTTGACGATGTGTCTACTAAGCTTATATATATATATATATATATATATATATATATATATATCTCTCTCTCTCTCTCTCTCTCTCTCTCTCTCTCTCTCTCTCTCTCTCTCTCTCTCTCTTTCTCTCTCTCTTCTACGACACTTCCACTAATATGTCTGCCACGAGCGTGATGGGCGGGTGGACGAGATCATCTACCTTCCAGTCCGACGTCCCCTCCAAAAGCTGCCATTCCCCGGCAATGTTCGCCGCGTAACGGCGCACGCGCACACCTGGTCGAAGTTCAGCACATTGTAAACAACAGCTAAGGGTCGCAGGAGACACTATACTTGCGCCAACTGCCATATTTTACGCATTTTCATCCAGTTGCGTGTAGCATTGCGACACAAATAGGTGGATATTTTTATTTTTTACACACTTCCGGCTTTTTAAAACTTTGATGGGCCTTTCTTCCTCCAAAGAGCGTTTGTTTTAAATTGACGTCAAAATGCGTCATAAAGTTACATTACTGTCACCACAGAAATAATGCGTAGAATTCTGACGGGATCCGGTCAAACACCATTGAAAGTCGACCATTCCGTATTTAAGCCCCCTGCAACCCCCTGCTCCTGCTCTGGCCGAGAGTTTCCGATCCTTTCTCCTCCAATCATCTGTTCATATACAGTCTTCGCTCTGCCGATGGGAGGGGACAGAGGGGGAGCGGGGCGGGGCCTGTGGAATGTGCACGGGGGCCGGACCGTCGGACTGTTTCTGCAGGGAGAAGGGGGGACACACGAGGAAGGCACGGGCGGTGGAATGCGCCAGGTGGTCGCGCCGTCCCCTCGCTAACCAAGGGTTTGAAGTCTCGGCCATGACCGCATGAACGAGAGTTTTTTTAATACCACGCTGCGTGTCTCCCTGGACCTTTTGCAGCGTGCCAGAATGGCCCAACTGGTGTTGCCAAGTAGGCAACTTTTTCGACCTCTGGTCATTCCATACCGGCCGGTGTCCTCTTCTCGACCACACAAGATCTGTCGTGCCAGACAGTACACGCACCGTCCCTAACATTCTGTACAGCTGCATCCGTTTTCACGCTAGCTCTACTAGACAGTGACTATTTTTTCCTTACCACACCGGACGTGTATAACAAACTGGACAAACAGATGCGGAACGCCGGTCCTGGCTTGCCATTAGGGCTATCAGAATAGTCCCATGTATTTGCTCCACAGGCGTGCCTGTTCCACCATCGTGCACGAATGTGACAGTTCACATTTGCTTCACTTGTAATATATTGTGGTAATATTTTACTTGTGTGTATATATATATATATATATATATATAATATTTTATGTATATATATATAATATTTTATGTATATATATATATATATATATAATACTTTACTAATGTTGTGTAATACTTCATAAATTGATTTCATGACACTGGATCCGCAAACAGAACGTGAAAAATTGATGCAAGGCGACTTGTATGAACTTGCGTACTATAGATAGTCACCTGTCAAATAGGCACCCTCTGACATTGCACCAGTGCGAGCTTGTGTAACGGGGTTTCAAACCGAGCTTTCAATAAACTGGTGCCCCAAATAGATGAATACAAGTACATGCGGGCTTGTTTTGCCAAGCAATGGAGCTGATTGAAAGCGTACAAAATTACCTGTGGCGTTGTATGGACGCCTTGTCTTTGCATTATTTCTGGATGCATGCAACATCATTCATGCGATTTCCTGGACGATTTGACGGCTGCCTGACAGGATGCCTGGCGGGGACCAGGTGTGACGTGTTGACGAACAGGGACATGGGTGGGTCACGGGGACCCAAGCCAGCTTTTCGTGCAGACCTACATGGAGGTTCGCTTCCTGAGAGGTGAATTGCCTGGTCGGGAATGCCGGAAGAACTTTGTGCCAAATTCTTCAAGAAGCCATGGTAAACCGATGGAGGCACCATAAATTCGAATCTAAGACTGACGCTGTCATGACGCTTACTGATATCTTACTCGGTAGTCGCGCGTCGTAGCAGAGAGACACAACATAACCGTAACAAACAAGATCCATGAACACCATCTGAGCGCAATGCTCAAGACCTAATAAGCCCAAGGTCCCTTTGCTAAAACAGAATCGGCGATTGTTCATCTTTCAAATCTTGCGCTACACATTGACACTGCGGTTTGAGTGTTGTTACGCATTCCAAAACTTCGAAAAAACCGTACTTCCTACCACTGAAAATGCCAAGTCTCCCTAATTTCGCTCCTGTCACTTGCCGGTGCTGCTGCCATGTTTATGAGCTGTTGCACGCTGAAGTGGACCTAAAATCCACCCTCCGCGAAGCACTGGGCGTGCTGAGTTGCCATGGCAGCGGGGTTCACTTTGCAATAACTACATTTTATGAGTCTTTTCACTGCATCCTTGCAAATTAATCTCCGCTCAAAACACTTGCTTTCTCTACATTTCTCAAGGTGATGAGTTCAGAAAATGCATTGGATCTTTACCTTGGCTCGCCGTAGCTCGCCGTAATGAATGAATGGACTTAAGATGAATGACGGCTATCGGATACTAGCGTTTTGCTTAGCATAACACGCATGCGCGTTTTGTCGTTTTACTTAGCATACTCGGCGGCGGTGACTAAGCTACCAGCCGAGGGCTTTTTGGCGACGCAGAAATATGGAATTACAACCATTTAGGAAGATGTGATGTCTAGACGAGGCGGTGCACAGAACGACGAATGAGTGGATGGCAAGCGCAGGCAATGAATCGGTGCATGCGGTGATATACATTTCGCCACAACCCTGACTGTAGTTTCACATCATTTTTGAAATGTCGACATTGCCGGCTTGCCCGACGATCATTGGAGCAACCGTGCATGGCAAAAACTCGTGTTGGCGGCATTAATCACACGTTTATCGATATTTTGAAACTGGACTTACCCGCCCGCCCTTCCACCCGCTCTAGCTATCGAAATATGGTATAAATTAGGAAAACCAATAAAAAACCGGGCAAGCTCATCTTGGCCGTTCCTGCGTATGTAACACGTGAAAGCTGGAAACCGCATATCCGGCATCTGGCATATCAGACAATTTCCCATTCAGTTATCCACCAAGAGATGCTAATTTCTTGTCGCTCCGGCTCGTGATCACCGAGATGTGACTACGGTTTCAAAACGACTTCTCATAGGCTTTGTCGTGGGTCATGTTTTCAGGCCACCCTTGCAAAAGCACCCGATCTACAATGACCCTTACGGGACACGCCAGGCCCGAACCCCCAACTTCAGCGACTCACGAGCTACCCGTGGAAAACGCCTCATGCGTCCCCGCGTCGCGTCCAAATGTCACCGTTCAGCAACCCGCCGTTCGGCCCAGGCAGGGCACATCTCAATACGCAGCAGACAGACGACAAACAAACAGGCAGACGCATCCAAAGCAAATGATTTAGATTTTGCCAAGTGCGTGCCAAAGTGCCACGGTAATGCATAGTATAGATGATGTAGAGTGAAGATTGTGCCAATTGTGCCAGTAGTATAGATTGTGTTTAAGTGCCAATGATGGGCCAGATGGCACTCGAGTACTGAAAACCTTACAGTGCTACAGGTTCTGTTGTTTGTTGTTGTAACTTACATTGGGTGCAGCACTTAGGCTTGTGAGAAATTGCTCTCATCATTTGAATACATT